TTGTCGGTTATTGTGTCTCATATTCAGTGTGATTAAGATGTTTTTTGTTGAGAACAGAGACGCATACACGTGTTAGGATTTGTGTTTTTTTGCAGTGTTAAAGCCCCGTGACAAATCCGTGCACTTTGACTCCTTCCTCGAGCCGCTGACTTCTCATAAACACATAAATGAACCCAGTAATGGTTTCTACATGCCTGTTTCTTCCTGCTTCTCTCTTTGTGTGACGCAGACTCGCTCGGGATCCGCCGTGTTAGGAAGCAGAGACTGAAACCAAGCAGCGTGCAAAAGAATTAACATTCTAATTAAAAGCTAATTAGACTTTGATTTGGCAGATAATTATATTCGTGTGTGGCTGTTCTCTGGACTGTTTGGATTTGATGAGGTGTGTTAGTGCTAATTAGCTCGCGGATATGGAGTGGTGTGACAGCGCAGGTTTCTACACAAAGAGTTTAGATTTGGTTTTCTTTGTTTTGTTCGTGTTTGAGTGAACAAAATGAGAGAATAAAAATACAATGATTTAGGTAAAATATACGATAACATCTTATGTGTGTCTCATCTTTGTCTCAGAGACTAAAAGGAGCTCAGGTCTCATCGGTCCCTGAGACGTGAACGTGGTTCAGTCTCACAGCGAGCCCTGAGGGAGATCTGTATGTTTCATAGAGTTTTCTCAATCCAAGATCTAAACTAAAAGATAAGCGAGACAAAAGTTCTTAAATTTGTCTTAAAATGAAGGTTCACTCTACAGTCCAACTTAAGGATGTCTCATTTTTGAATCTCAGTTTAAAGGAAAAATGAGACCAGGTATCCAAGCGGTAAACCTCTGGAGTTGAAAAAAGAAGCCAATGCTGAAGTGTAAAAGTCCTGCAGTTCCTGGAGTGTCCACTAGAGGCTGGCTGCAGAAGCACAGGAAGTCACATACACACCCATTCTAAAAAGCCTGTTTTTAAAGCAGAGATGAACATGTTTACAGACTGGAACAGACGGGCGACGAAACTCAGGCTTCGTCCAATAATATATAAAGTCTGTGGCTCACACTCTACGACCTGATTGTCGCCCATATTGCACGACCAGTGTCATCGTCTTATGTTTAGCAGCTTTAGCTGGTGCAGAAAGTTATGCAGTTGCAATCAGAGACCTTCGGTGTGCACCAAATAGAATTCCTACATATTGTTGCTTCAACCCTTTAAATACTTTATATGTGATTTTTCACACTTAAATAGAAATCCAGTCTATCCTCTGAAAATAACTCTGTGAGTCATGACTGTCTACAATGGGTGTAACACCCGAGTCCCACTGTCTGTGATGTTTTCAGAGTTTTCAGAGTCCTATCTTCACTTTGTTTACATCGTCGGGACGGCCAGCTGACTCCTCCCCTCGTGTATAAAAGTTGTTTAATTGAGGGACTAGAGAAAAGAAGAATAACATACTGTACTCACTGCTTAACTGTGTTTCTAGATCACGCTCATTTCAGGTAAATTTACATGCAGTGTGAAGATACCAGCATAATAAAGATCGCTAGCATTAGCATGCTAACACAACAATGCAGCGCGAGTTGTTTTGGTTTCATGCTGGTGCTCAAGGGCGACATCTGCTGGATCAAAAAATCACATATAAAGCCTTTAAAGGCCTCTGCAGTGAGTGTTTCTGTAGCGGCAGGTTCAGGTGAAGCTCAGTACTATAGCAGCGTGTTTTATCTGTCAGTGTGTGTCAGTGATTCAATCAAATACCACCGCCTGAAGTCACATCCTCTGACACACACACACTCACACACACGCTGTGTTCAAACACGAGACAGATAAATCCAAACCTGGAATTTCCTGTTTGTCCTGGAATACACCTGAACACAGGTAGCTGTGTTGTAGCCTGGAGGGACGTTTGTCAGGAGTTAAGAAACACACTAACTCATCCAGAGTCAACATATACGACTGAGAACATTTGCATCATCCTCCACGGAGACCGGAGGTTTTTGGATTGACGCTCGGCCACATGTTCACATTACATTCAGAGAGACGTTTGAGTTGTTGGAGGAGGAGGAGGAGGAGGAGGAAGGCATACAGCTCTCGGGTGGTGCTCTGCCAGGTTTTTGGAGGTTCGGCTCCCTGCACAGATCAATGAGCAGAGAGATGCATGCAGGCTGCCAGGTTTGGGGGATTTAAACACACAATGAGCCGTGCAGCAGGCGGAGGATGGAGACACCTGCAGCTTCCATAATGTGCTCCGAGCAGAAAGGCTCCTTTAATTGAATGTTAAACAAAAAGATCCCCCCTGCTCCTCTGCGCATACATATACATATCTGTCAGGCTCCTTAAAGGACTCATTTTGTGTCACCATGGAAAACAAAAGAAAGGTTTTTACTTGATAGAATGATTGTTCATGTTTAAGAGAAAAGCGTCTCTTAAGGCTGCAGACAATCTTCAAATCTTAACCCGTGTTAGAAACATGGGAGACCTCAGACATGAGGACAGTTTCCTCGTTAACATTATAAAGATGTGATCATGAGATGATAAAGATGAGAAAAAGATTAGAGGTGAAATCCTGGCTGAGAACATCGATGGCGGCTCCTCCTGGACTGCTCGCTCTCATTGGCTGTTGCAGGTATTCCATCAGAGGTGCATCGTGTCTCGATTGGTCACATTCTTAAATATGAGGCCAAAAAAAAGTGTCAGGAATCAAGAGTTCGCCTTTCTGGAGGGAAAACTGGATTCTATAACATGAAACTAAATGAAAATGTAAGTTTCAGTAGCGTGACCTGGACATCATCACACAGCTGCAAAGGTTGTTTTTTTTCTCTTTCAGGGCTCGATCACTCAGAGATGCGTCACTAGCAAAAACGTTGATTTCTTCTGGTACAGCAGGCTCGCCGGGCGCTTTCCTCTGCTGCTGCAAAAGACGTTTTTCGAGCTTTTTTTGCACGCACAAAGGTTAAATAATAATAACTTTCAGCTCGAGACGTGAGGTTGCAGCACACAGGGCGAGCGGAGACGTGTGTCTGCGTGATCGGGCCCTGAGATAGGACAGAAAGAGACACAGCAAAGGTCGGAGGTCGGACCAGCAGCTGCAACAAGGACTTTAGTTTCTGCACATAGGGGGCGCGACATAACCAGGTTCAAGCTTTTCTCTGTGTGTTATTTAGTCTGTCGTCTGCGTGTTGTTGCAGTTATTCTTGACCCACATGAGGGTCAGAGGGTCTTCACCCATCTGACTTATAAAACCTTCAACAAAGAAACAAAAGCAGAGCGAGAGAAACACAAAGACTGAAATGGTTTACTTCACATCTGCAGCCTCTTCCTGACCTCTTCCTGACCTCGTCCTGCCAGCAGACGTTTTTCTGTTTCCTGCTCGGAGGACGTCTTCTCCGTCTCCACTGAAGTGTCTGTGAGGCCGTCTGTGTTTGCCACGTGTTCCGCTTCATAATGAAGTGTGCTGCAGATATAGAGAGAGCCTCGGTCCAAACGAGAGCTTCAGTCTGGTTGATGAATACAAATGATAAATGATAAAGAAAGAGCTGAATGTTCCCGTACATGTGTTTAGTGTTAACTCCAAACTTTAATCGATGGAAACAGTTTGAACAATGAGAAATAGAAATCAATAATCTCCAAAGACTCCCTGTGTGTAGTCAGCATGCTGGTCAAAGGTACGGTGGCCCTGAAGGTCATCTTCAAGAAACATTTCTCAAAAGGAAAAAAAAACGTTTCATTATGCCGAACAAATTCTGATTAAAAAATGTACAAAAAAAACATTGAATTTTATTTTAAAATCTTTTATGTTTCATAATTTTTTTTTGCATGAAAGAAATATTTATTTGGGTTTGAAGTTTCATGAAATTCTTTTTTTTTTTTTTTTTTACTGTTAAAGGTTTTTATGTTTCCATTTAATTTTTTTGAAATTCATGAAATCTTTATTTGTTTCCTGAAATGTTTTTGATGAAAAAAAAACATTTCTTTAATACTTTTATTTTACATTTTGCAAAATGTTTGTTTGCTTCATGAAATAATTTTCTCTCATTCCATTTTTTCTCATTTCATGAAATGATTTTGAGTTTTTTTAAACATGTTGATGTTCCCTGAAAGGTTTTTCAGTTTCTTGAAATATTTGTATTTCGTGTAGGCTAATTATTTTATTCTTCATTAAACGTTTTTGTAGTAGACCTTCACAGTCACTGTACAGAAATAAACAATAACTAAATGTTTTTAGTGCTAATTTTGTTAATTCAGGATCAAATGTTTCATTAGCAAAATAAAAAATAAAACATTATTATTTAAAAAGTTATTTTATGCTCCTTTTTGATCGGTCAGCTGAAGAGAGACAGGAAGTCAGGAAGAAAGAACAACTGACAGTATTTAATGATGATGATTTAATGTTCTTTATTAAAATCCGAACAAAGTAAATCAAAACAAAAGTCTGACCTCTGACCTCAGTGATCAGTGTTTATGTAACTTTATGAAGTAGTCCTGTATAAAAACACCATACAGATGTTGTTGGGTGTGTGCGCTGAGACCTCCAGCTCTGCGGAGGAGCAACAGCTGGTTCGGACTCGCGCATGCGCACTGGAGAACAACGAGGATGCTTTCAAGTGCTGGAGGTCGTCAGAACAATGAGTGTGAATCAGTTTGTAATGGAAGTTACTATAAAAACCAGACATCGTACAAACCTTACATTTATTATTTATGAACTGTCGTTTCCTGTTTTCATCTTTGAGGATTTTATTGTTTGTAGTTTATTTCTGATTTGATTTCCTGTCTGTCTGCAGAACTTTGGGCTGTGTGCTTTTAAGTATGAACAGATCTTTATAAATAAAGTTTATTCAAAGTGAAGTTCAAGTGATTCACAGAGTCTGAAGCCCCTCCACCGAGACTTACAAAAGATGTTTAAGTGACTTTTAAATGCTAAGACTTGGGCTAACTTTCACGTTTTATAATCATTAACAGTAAAAAATCAAAGTCCAGCCTGCAGAACTCGAATGTACAAGCTTCCTCTGAGCACCTGAAGGCATCACAAACTTCTCAGGCTGAAGTTCAGGGTTAGCAGATCTTCAGTGTCTCTCCTGTGTGTTCTCAGGATCAGTGTGTGTTTTTATTGAGGATGTGTGTGTGACCGATCAGTGACTCACGATGCTGAGGGTGAAGACACTTTACGGCTGATGACGTCACGCGGTGATTTCCTTTATTTCTCGGATGTTTTGGAGGAACTTTGACATGAAGCTTCTCTCTCTCTGAGAGATGTGTATCAGCTGCTCGGCTCCTTAAAAACACGTCTTTACTGCTGTCTTCAAACACAGGACTTGGTTTTTTATTTGTGTTTTCGGGGATCATGGTGGAGAAGGTGTTGTCCCGTTTCTTCCCCGCGGAGGGTGACCCCCCCCCCGGGAGGAGTCGGTGGAGCTCGGCGGTGGTTGCGGTGGTTCTGCTCGGGATGTTCGCTTCCTCCTGCTGGGCAGAAGAAGCTTCCTGTCACGGAGCTTACGACCTCTACTTCGTTTTAGACAAGTAAGTAAGAACCAAAAAGAGTGTGAGCTTCTGTCTCACACATCTGAACACTTTAACTGAAGATAAAAACAATGGAAACGAATTTATTTTATTTTGAAATGTCGCTCTCCCCTATATTAATAACTAGTTATTTCCTGGGACAGGATGTGAGCTGTGTCGCAGGTTGAGATGTGAGGTGAGGCCGGGGCGGTGCTTGGTTACAGGTGTGACACAGTTTTCTGTGACCTGACTTGCAGGGTCACTTCCGGTCTTGCTCTAAACGGTGTCACCATGTTGCTTGTTGGCTCACAGTTTGGACACAGTATGTGGACACTTCCCTCCATGGATGAGGCAGTGTGCAAAAACATTGTTCAACACGACAACATGCTTCTCTGCTGAACGCTTCTGATTGGTTGATTGATATCTGCTTATTGTCCGTCGTTTGTTCTTCTTTCATAAACTGTGAGATCAGTAACATCACAGCCTGACATGTTGGTGCTCCTGCAGCTCTGTGCACCACGATGCATGCAGAAAACCTGCACGATGAGTCCTCTCCTCAGAGGATTGAAACAGTGACTAACTTTGAGATTGTTTAGAAGTCTGCAGAGTGCGTGTGAAAAAGCATCTGGATAATCCTTCAAAATAAGACGTGAACTATCTTTGAGCAGTGGTTGCATGTTGTGTTGAGCAGAGGATTACATCACGGTGAGGCCGTGTTGTTGGTAATGTTCTTCTTCCTGTTTGTCAGACTTCTTCAAACACACAGAGTGTAAACACAGATTCAGCAGCAGCAGCGTCATGCTCACTGAGCTGCAGTGCATTGTGGGGGGAGTTTTACAGCTCTGACAGGGACTGTTTCTCATCCTGTCCTCCTCCCTCTCTCTCTCTCTCTGCTCCCCTGACCCATTTCCAAAACCACCACACCCTCCTCATAATCACTAAACGACAGGATGGCGAGCTGCGATCCTTCTCTGGATAAAGTCGGGCACAGAGTTTCTTTCTTTCATGTGTGTGAAAAGAGAAAACGCCTCAGCTGCAGAGAGCGCTGCTTCTTCTCGACGTGGAGTCAGAGAGCTCGATTCAAGTTTGTTTGTTTGCAGATTAAACGTCTCCTCGGTCAGATTCTCTGGTCGTTCTGATGATGTGTGATGTCATCACGTTGTGCAGCAGGAGTCTCTTTGTGCAAAAGTCTTTCTGACTTTCTTTCTGGTTTGTCAGCTTGTTTCTGTGCAGCACCTTTGGGGGGGGGGGGGGGCGCGTGACCTGTGTGTGGAATAAGGTCGTCAGAATGATCGATCTACTTTAAGTTACCTCGTGTTTCAAACGATACCACCTCTGTTTATTTGAACCATCGATGTTATCAAAGAGTATCGGCTCTGAAGACGACATCTATTTCATGAGAAGCTTCAGGTCCAGAGTGAGAGAGAGATTCAGCGAGTCCTCGTCTCCTCAGGAAGCTCGTTGTAGAGTCCAGGGGTCCAGAAGAGCCACACCCCGAGGATGTGAGGCGGCCAGATGGCTCACAAGGGGTCGAAATAATAATAATAATTAAAATAATAATATAATAATAAAAAAACTGGGGGGCTAGAAATGACCCTCATTTTCAAAAGGAAGTATTCTACACTATACTTGTACAGATCTCAGTTTTTCTTCTTTAGAATAAAAGGCCAGGAGGCTGCTGCTAGTCCTCGATTTCCTGGCCTGAACCTTCAGAGCGATCTCCTTCTATTCGATCCGATCGGATGTGATTGAGGAAGGCCAACACTCTGAGCTTTAAAAGTGAAATCTTTCAAATCAGTACCGGAGTGTCCTGATGGATCCGGCTCCACTCGAGGCCTCCGCTGTTTTACTTTGAAAAGCTGCATGTGGAGTTCAGATTGTAGCACAAGAAGAAGAACTGTCCCCTTACTGTCTCTCTGTTCATATCATGAAGTTATTGTTTCATGATTTTTCTCTTTGTTTTTTCTGTTTTTTAAAGAAAGTCTTTTTTCTCCAGCAGCCAAAACGCAGATCTGTAAGCGAGTCGGCGCCCGTGCGAACATTGGAGGTTTTCTAACAGCTTTAGTGGCTGCTATAGATCACAGACTTCTCAGCTCGATTATCCAGCATGTGGCCGGTGTTAATGTCCAACTGTGGCTGTGTTACAAAGCACACACACACACACACACACACACACACACACACACACACACTGTACAGTTAGTGTTTTTACTCCCCAGCACTCAATCTGCTGCACGCCGACCAGCTGCTGACTCCTCTCTCTCCTCCTCTCAGGTCTGGAAGTGTCGCCAACGACTGGTTCGAGATCTACTCCTTTGTGAAAAACCTGACCGACAGATTTGTGAGGTGAGTGCACAAAGTGGTCGTACAACGTTTTCTTCAGATATTATGAAATGACGCTTAGAATAGAATGTAGCATAGAATAGAATAGAATAGAATAGAATAGAATAGAATAGAATAGAATATGTTTATTGCTATTTGCACAGGTACAGGACAGTACAGGTACATTGGAAGTTTTGTGCGTTTCTCCCTGAGTCAGCTTCTACAAAAAAGTTTAAATTATATATAAAATAGAAGAAAAAAAGAGTAGAAAAGTACAAATAAAAAATAAAATACGTTGTGGTAACAGCTAAGTGATTTAAAATAAACTGTACAGAAGCTATACACTGTATTAAAGCAAAGCGATAAAGATAAAGAAGATAAATATAAACTTCATTGAAATTTTTTCATTACAACAGCTCAAGAAAAACAGGAAACAGGAATATAATTATTAAAAATAACAAGAAGTTAAAAATCAAACATATTTACATAATACAAAAACAACAACAAAAACTGCAGTTTGCACGGTGTGAGGGCAACATGGAACAGAAATCGACACTTTCTGTGCATGCACCTCTGCACTGACAGGTGACTGATGGATCCACACGAGGTGCTGGGTTAACCCTTCAAAATAAAATGAGTGTTTGAAACGTGGTGGTTGATTAAAGAGGGAACATGACATCAGCTCCAGCCTGCTGCGCGTTGCTCACACTGAAGTTCTTCACACCTGTTTTTACAAATGATCAAACTGTAAAAAAATCCACCACATCCTTTTTTTTTTGCACATATTTCATTAAAAAAGCGTCTTGAACGTTGAGCTTGCATAACGTTTGAGTCAAAAACGTTTCCTGCCAGCACAGGACAGACGGCGGCGACCCAGCCAGAATCGAGTGGTTGGTTGAAGAAAATAGCAAAGGCACCAGGTGGGAGTGGGTGGCAGAGAGGAGCAGTCTTCTGGGCTGTGAGAACGGCCATTTGCACCGGGGGGTGGGTGTGTATGTGTGTGTATGTTGGGGGGGGGGGGGTTCCGGCTCCACACGTCTCCCCCCCTCCCGGCACGGAGCGGCCGGCGAGCAGACAATGTACAGTAAGAGCGAGAACACTGGAAGGAGACGACGACAATCTGCTAAACAATGCTCGCTCACCAAGAGCTCTTCTGTTCCGCCATGTGGACAGAACAGGACCCACACACACACACACACACACACACACACACACACACACACACACACACACACACACACACACACACACAGACACCCCCCCCCCCCCCTGATATGTCCCTGGCATCTCCGCGTCTCACTCTGCCGTCTTTACGAGAAACGTGAAATATCTCAACACTGTAAAACACTTTGACGGACTCCGAGTGTTCATCGACGACTTTTCATTATTTAGAATGTCACGATCGCCATGGAGACACGTTTGTTACCATGGCAACACAAACAGAAGTCGCAGACTTCTGGCCGATGTCTGGTCGGAGCTAAACACCGTTACCGATGTGTTTGAACGCTTCAGACCGCGTCCATCCTTTTAAATGCAAGTGATTGAATAGAATAGACGAAACATTATGATGTCATCGACAAACAACAAACAAACAAACAAACAAACAAACAAACAAACAAACAGTCGTAAAGCGAGAGGCGAACGTTTCAGCTTTCTGCTGCAAGAAAACAACATTCAGATCTCTTTCAAAGTTTTATTTGCGATGGCGATCTCGCCGTCTCTGCACGCTGCTCATGTCCCACGTGGGCGCGGCGCTCTGTGACGACACCTCTGGGCGTCCAATAGGAGGGAAGATCAGATCACAGCAAACGGCGCCCCTCTTCCCTGAGCTCTAGTTTACAGACCCACCTGTTGGTGAAGCACTCGATCTAGAGCTGCAGCTCCTGGACGAGACAAAACTCCTCCCACTTCCTATTGTGTCCTGATGATGTCATTAAGCCACGCCCTCTTCTTCTTTTCTGCTCTACTGAACAGAGGACAGATACAAACTGTGCACTGAAGGAGATATTTTCCTGACTTTTGTTTCGGTCTTTTAGCATCTTTGGGCCGATGGTTAGCGTGTGTGCGCGCTCCCTTCCTGCTCGGCGCCGCCCCCCCTGCAGTGAGCGCAGCGCACGCCGTTTCCTACCTCCGTTATTTAACAATCGATGACATCACAAACACGTCTAATATTATGACACGACCGACCACGTCTCAGCTCTCTGATGTAAAAGATAAAAGTCGATGTTTCATTTTAGGATCTAGTGAAAAAACGGTCTCAGCTGATTCTCCGCCATCTTAGCGGTGATGCTCCGTTTACCCAACGCACGTAACGAACACATCGAGAAGAATCGTGCGACACGAAGGACACAACAGACCGAAGTCTCAGCTTCCTGTTTTCTCTCGCTGGAACTGTTTGAATAGAACAAACATTAAAACATTAAAGACTGCTCTTTGGATTTAAGTCACCGCCCACGTTTTCTCCTCTCCGACTCGAGCGTGGCGAGCGTTTCTCCGAGTTGTTCTGTGAGTTTTTTCCGTCCACATATGACGGCAGACAGGACGTGGATGTATACGGCTGCTTCCTGCCAGCTCGGCCCGTGTGGCTGTAAAGATGGCGGCGGCGTGTTTGCGGGGGAGAACGGCGACTGTGTCATGTGGGTGAGAAATATCAGCACCTCTCCTTATGCTGCCCCGGCTTCAGAGAGAGAGAGAGAGAGAGAGAGAGAGAGAGAGAGAGAGAGAGAGAGAGAGAGAGAGAGAGAGAGAGAGAGAGAGAGAGAGAGAGAGAGAGAGAGAGAGAGAGAGAGAGAGAGAGAGAGAGAGAAGAGAGAGAGAGAGAGAGAGAGAGAGAGAGAGAGAGAGAGAGAGAGAGAGAGAGAGAACTTTTGATTCTCCTTCATTCAACGGTTACCGTGATTTTCTTTTATTAAAGATCTTTAACATCCACAAGGTGTTTTATTTTGAAAATAAATCTGTAAGCTCACAAACTGTCCTCCATCTTGTAACCATCCCTGCTTATTTTAGGAAGGAGGTCACCACAAACGTTTTGCCCCGTTGCCATAACAACAACAAAAAGACTCGGTGTTCGTGTAAACGTGCTGCTTCAGTCGTTCTTCTTTCAGCGACCAATCAAACGTACGCTAACTGCCAAACACGCCCAACACGCCTCAGGTCCTGCTTGGTGGTTTAACATTAATTGTAACTTAAAAAAAAAAAAATCAACACATTTCTTTATTCTATAAATCGTGCAGTCGAAGAGGTTGAAGAGGCTTCACGGCTAATCTCAACACAAGACTTTAAATCTTTGAGAATATTTCTTGACTGTGAGAGTTGAGTAACGCTGCCGTCTGCGTGCTTCGTCATATCGATGCTCGATCACTGAAAGTATTTACTGAGAGAGCAGCTGTGTTTGAATTAATCCTGTTTATGACGTTACAGAGCGTAAACACTCACAGGTACATAGAAGTATTAGTGTGTGTGTGTGTGTGTGTGTGTGTGAGTCATCAGCTCCACATGTTTCCTGTCGAGCGTTCATTAATCACTCTCTAGTTGCTTTCAGACGTTTCTGATGTAATATCAGTAAAAACACTGAGCCTCTTTATTCTCCTGTGACTCCTTTTCCGCGCATCATTCCCATCTCTCTCTCTCGCCCTGATTTCTGCTTCTGTCCGCTGTCCTGCCTCTAAAATAAAGCCGTGAAAACCTTAAAAACATTAAACTGAAGTCAGTTATTGATAACACCCAGAGGTCAACATGTCCTGAAAGTCAACATGTCCTGAAAGTGAAGATTTAATTGTGTTCAGGAAGGGAAAAAAATCAGAGAAGAAAGGAGGAGTCAGTAGAAATGTTTGTAAACATTCAAACTGGCCCCTCCTCCTGGGCCCAGAAGCCCCGCCCACTGCAGGATGTAGTCTGTACGTTTACTGCTTGTACCTACACTGCAAGCTAACGCACGCTAGCACAAGCTAACCACCGGTGTTTGTCACCTGCCGGTCCAACAGGAAGTAGACCAACTCCAACTCCATTTTATTTTGAAGGCCCCTGCATAAGTCTGTGTTTTATTTTGAAGGAAGCAGCTGCTGTTGCCTTTGATGATGACGTCATGTTTGTTTCTTCTTCTTCAGCCCCAGGATGAGAGTCTCGTTCATCATCTTCTCGTCTAAAGCCACCGTCCTGCTTCCTCTGACGGGAGACAGGTAACAACATCAGACTGCCTCTCTATAGATGACCCTCTCACTTTTTGATCCAGCAGATGTCGCCCTTGAGCACCAGCATGAAACCAAAACAACTGGCGCTGCATTGTTGTGTTAGCATGCTAATGCTAGCGATCTTTATTATGCTGGTATCTTCACACTGCATGTAAATTTACCTGAAATGAGCGTGATCTAGAAACACAGTTAAGCAGTGAGTACAGTATGTTATTCTTCTTTTCTCTAGTCCCTCAATTAAACAACTTTTATACATGAGGGGAGGAGTCAGCCGGCCGTCCTGGCGATGTAAACAAAGTGAAGATAGGACTCTGAAAACTCTGAAAACATCACAGACAGTGGGACTCGGGTGTTACACCCATTGTAGACAGTCATGACTCACAGAGTTATTTTCAGAGGAGATACTTGATTTCTACATTTAAGTGTGAAGCATCACACATCAAGACTTTAAAGAAGACACGGTTCAGTTCAGGTTGTAGAGGATAAATGAAAACCAAAGAGACGTCAACGTGTTGTTTTTGTCCGAGCTCTGGAGAAGTAATGATTCATTTTGTGTTTGTAGATATGAGATCGAAGAAGGTCTGAAGAGGCTGAAGGAGGTGAAACCAGCCGGAGAAACGTTCATGCACGAGGGAATAAAACAGGTTCTGAACCCTTTCTGTCAAACACTCTGAAATATACTCAGAACATTATCTGACCCGGTGTTTGTTCCACCCTGCAGGCGTCGGCTCAGATTAAGGCTCAGGGGATCAAATCGTCCAGCATCATTCTGGCTCTGACGGACGGCAAGCTGGAGGTTTTCCCCCTCGAGCTCACCGTCAACGAGGTGACGTTCCACAAACCAATCAGAAAGTCTCTTTTTAGTTTCAGTAACTTCAGAGACACACATTAAAAAACGATTAGAGAAAGATTTATTTATTTTCCTCTGATGTGACTCCATCCTTCTTCTTCTTCACGTCTTTCTTTTCTCCACCTCTAACCTGTTTCCCCGTCTCCGTGCAGGCTAAGGAGGCGAGGCAGTATGGCGCCCGTGTTTACTGCGTGGGAGTCAAAGACTTTGACGAGCAGCAGGTAAGAGAGCCGCCGTCTTAATGTGAACACACCTCGTCTGTCGTCGACGTATGCTGGAATGTTTACCTCTTAAAGCAGGAGACGCTGAAAGGTAAACACGTGTGAGATCAGAGCTGTTACCTGTCTCGTCTTAAAGGGATATTACGCCTGCGAGCAGCCGATCCCTGAAGACTGAAAAAAGCTGGTCAACAAAGACGGAGCAGATGTTTTATCGCTGTTCATTTTAACGACGATTGAAAGTCAAATCAACCAAAAAAAAAGATAATTTTAAAGTTTTCTGTGTTGCTTCATGACGCTTGATTCACAACACCTGCAGTATGACACAAGTTTCATCAGGTAGAGTGTAACCTGCAATTTCCGCAGAGCGCCGCGCACCACACCGCAGTTTGCTGCCACTCTCGTCAACGCCCCCGTTTCCACATCACACGCCGCGGCCCGTCTCCGTAGCGTAAATACGCACCGAGTCTATTTTTGACGGAGCTCGCTGCAAGAACGAGTCAAGCTGAACAGAATAGATCGACCTGGACAGGAAGTCAATTTCAAAATAAAACACAAGAAACAAACACAAAAAAAGTGTTGACCTTCTGAAGTTGTGTTGTTTATATATGTACAACAATGTTTAAAAAGAAGATGAGTAATGATAAACTGTATGATGGTGTTCTGTTGTCAGTCTGAACCTCCACAAAAAGTCATTCAGGGACATTTACACATATAATGATAAATGCATGGCAGGAATTAAAGGGTTAATCAGAGTGATTTAAAGAAGTCATTCCCCCTCTTTAGTTAATAAATCTAACGCCTGAGCTGCAGAAGAGAGAGAGTGTGAGCAGCTCTGAGGTCAGAATCTTCCCTGATTGGTTCTGATGTGCGGGCCTGTCCGCGCATCAGAACGCGCTAATCGCCACTTATTCACTCTGAGACAAAGGAAGCGTTCAGTTTGTGATTTGTTTTTTTTTGATGGTTGAGCAAAGTGTTTGCCACAGTCACGCCATCTGCTGCGTCTCCTCCTGCCCGAGAATGAATGAAAGACGAGACGGCGCTCAGTCCCAAAAGGAGGGAAAGAGAAACGGAGGGAAAGCGGCGTTCAATCTCCACAAACCCGTTAGTAACTGAAAGTCTCCCGTCACACCCGCAGCTCGCTCAGATCGCCGACACCAAGGACCAAGTGTTTCCTGTCAAAGATGGCTTCCACGCTCTGAAGGGCATCATCAACTCTGTGAGTCTGCCTCCTGTGTGTGTGTGTGTGTGTGTGTGTGTGTGTGTGTGTGTGTGTGTGTGTGTGTGTGTGGTGTGTGTGTGTGTGTGTGTGTGTGTGTGTGTGTGTGTGTGTGTGTGCATAGGAATGTGTGTGTGTGTGTGTGTGTGTGTGTGTGTGTGTGTGTGTGTGTGTGTGTGCATAGGAATGTGTGTGTGTGTGTGTGTGTGTGTGTGTGTGTGTGTGTGTGTGTGTGTGTGTGTGTGTGTGTACCTACCTGCATGTTTTTAACTACAATCAGTTCAGGATGTTTCAAACAGACTTTTTTCACTCTGCTGTTCTTTATAAATGTTTGAAGGTTCTTTTCTGGACTTTCGTTTGTCGTTCTGAGTTTTAGTGAAAATACTGAAAAATCAGGAGAATCAAATAAATGATTCACATTACAGAGGAAATATAAATCATCAGTTCTGTCTGAAGTGAAAGAAGCTGCACTGTGGTACAGTGGTTAACTCCTTACAGCAAGGAGGTTCCTGGTTTGAATCCCCGTCCTTCAGGAGTCTCTCTGTGAGGAGGTTCCTGGTTTGAATCCTTCAGGAGTCTCTCTGTGAGGAGGTTCCTGGTTTGAATCCCGTCTGTCAGGAGTCTCTCTGTGAGGAGGTTCCTGGTTTGAATCCCCGTCTGTCAGGAGTCTCTCTGTGAGGAGGTTCCTGGTTTGAATCCCCGTCTGTCAGGAGTCTCTCTGTGAGGAGGTTCCTGGTTTGAATCCCCGTCCTTCAGGAGTCTGTCTGTGAGGAGGTTCCTGGTTTGAATCCCCGTCTGTCAGGAGTCTCTCTGTGAGGAGGGTCCTGGTTTGAATCCCCGTCCTTCAGGAGTCTCTCTGTGAGGAGGTTCCTGGTTTGAATCCTTCAGGAGTCTCTCTGTGAGGAGGTTCCTGGTTTGAATCCTTCAGGAGTCTCTCTGTGAGGAGGTTCCTGGTTTGAATCCTTCAGGAGCCTCTCTGTGAGGAGGTTCCTGGTTTGAATCCTTCAGGAGTCTCTCAGTGAGGAGGTTCCTGGTTTGAATCCTTCAGGAGTCTCTCTGTGAGGAGGTTCCTGGTTTGAATCCTTCAGGAGTCTCTCAGTGAGGAGGTTCCTGGTTTGAATCCTTCAGGAGTCTCTCTGTGAGGAGGTTCCTGGTTTGAATCCTTCAGGAGTCTCTCTGTGAGGAGGTTCCTGGTTTGAATCCTTCAGGAGTCTCTCTGTGAGGAGGTTCCTGGTTTGAATCCCGTTCCTTCAGGAGTCTCTCTGTGAGGAGGTTCCTGGTTTGAATCCCCGTCCTTCAGGAGTCTCTCTGTGAGGAGGTTCCTGGTTTGAATCCTTCAGGAGTCTCTCTGTGAGGAGGTTCCTGGTTTGAATCCTTCAGGAGTCTCTCTGTGAGGAGGTTCCTGGTTTGAATCCTTCAGGAGTCTCTCTGTGAGGAGGTTCCTGGTTTGAATCCTTCAGGAGTCTCTCTGTGAGGAGGTTCCTGGTTTGAATCCTTCAGGAGTCTCTCTGTGAGGAGGTTCCTGGTTTGAAGTGGAGTAATACTTAGAGGTCGTAGAAACTTCAAGAGCAGCAAAAACAACGATCAAATATGATAGGACAAATAATCGTTTAAAAGCAGTGACAGTTATGTTGCACATGGTCAAATCAGCAGAATGGTTCAGTCATAATGATCAAAATCATGTGACACATTATATCACATTAAAGCAGCGAGGGAGGATTCAAGCTCTAAAGTCTCTCCTGCTCTGAACTCACAGTCGTCACTTTAAAGTTAGTCCCTGATTATTTCTGTAAAAATAACAGAATCTGGCGTTCGTCGTGAGCTGGACGCTCAAAGACAGTTTCACTGAGGTTTGTCACAAATTAGAGCGAGACCTCCGTGAACTTCCTGCAAAGCTGCACGGAAAATGTGTTAGGAAAGAAGTGTTCAGTGTGCAGAGAGAGAGAGAGAGAGATGTTTAAACCACGCTGACAGTGTTCACATGTTGTGTGTCGACGCTCACATTCTGATGCTTTTTATTTTTTGGTGTCGGGACACAAACATGCTGCTGAACTGAAGAGTCCCTGAAACAGCTTTTTATGTGAACTTCCCCTGCAGCCTCCCCCTTCCTCTGCCAGCCAATTAGCGGTTCTTTCCATTAGCTGCAGCTTTTAGAAAAAGCGCTGTCAGCCAAGGCGAGGGGGAGGGAGGCGGTTTGTGTGGCAAACATTTGTAGCCCTGCAGGAGCTCTGTGACCCGGGCCGGGCTCAACATCTGTCAGAGTCCACAGAGCTCGCAGTGTTTCAGAAAAGCAGCTGGAAGGGACGCACAGCCAGAAGGGCGTGTCCTCTTTCTGTTTCTGTTGATGCAAAGTGTAAAAAACTGTGACTGATTGTGTCGCTCTGAACCGTCAAGAAGGCGGGTCTGAAACTGAAGCTGTCTGTCCTCTGAGGAGGAAAGAGTGAGACGTTAAGATCAAGGTTTCATTATTAGACTTTACAGGGACATTGCATGTTAATAAACATTTCAGTAAATATCCCAGAGTAATTTTCATCTGTTGTCCCTGGACAGATTTTTTTTATAAAAGGCTCCCTAAAAAAAACAAATTCAAACATCTCTAAAAGCTACAAAAATTGAAATATCATGACAGTAATGAAGCAGACAGGTGAGCAGTCACAGGAGAAGATACATAAAGCATGCAGGACACACATAAAGCAGCATTTGGTTCATATAGAAAATGTAAATCATGCAGGACAGACAGAACAATGTCACAAAAAAACAAAACCAAAAAATCATCTCTGGTTCTCACATGTCACTGTGATTCACTCAAAACAGATGCAGAAGTCATTTTAACATTTCAGTGAGTAACTGTCTGAAAAACAAGAGAAGGGAAAAAAAAAAAAAAAAGCACTTCTCACGTAGGACGGTGTCATCTCTGAGAATCCAGCTTTTAATAATCAACATTCAAATCAGCCTCCTAAAAGAGAGCTGCTTCTTCTGCGTGTGGTGCCGAGGCGTGTGCAGGAAGGTCGCCCCCTCCTCCCTTAAAGTCATGTCACACACTTCCTGTGGTTTTCATTACTAAATGTTTTAGAGAAGAAGAAGAGGAAGTGCGTGGTGCTCACTCCTCTTGCAGCATGCACAATGAAACTCTGAGCATTCCTCCCTCATGAGTAATCCTGGATCCTCTCTCCTCTTGAATCATTTCAGATCATCTGTGCAGCTTTTTTTGTGCTGCAGGATTCCTTGATTCCTTCTCTCCCTCCAGGTCACACTGGAGCGTTTTGTTGTCTGAGCTGCAGGATTTATGGGAAAAACCCTCCAAATGACTCAGTAGCCACATCGTTATCGTTAGCTTCCTTTAGCGACTGAAAACATGAAGCAGCCGGGCTTCACATGTTATTTTGTGTTCCACTTAAAGACTGGAATGACTTTATGATCCTGTTTAACAAGTAATGTCCTCAGAATGAGTTCAGCAGAGGGTGTTCCTCCTCCTCCTCCTCCTCCTCCTCCTCCTCCTCCTCCTCCTCCTCCTCCTCTTGAAGAGCTGCTGTTTGACTTTAACTCCACTGAGGAGGTGAAGACATCACAGATTGAATTTAAGACTGTGATAAGAGTTCAGTCTTTAAATCAGGACGTCAAACAACGATGTTTTTAGACCTCTGGCTCCACAAACGGTCCCTGATGGAGTCCAGAGGTCAGTCAGGAGAGGCGAGACGGCGAGACGGCGAGCAGCCACGGCTAGCTAACGTTAGCCGACATCGCTAGCATCAGACATGGATCATATTTGAAATGATTTAAAGTTCTCCTCATACACATTACAGTATCTCTGTCCTGATTCTTTGATTGTCCTGAGAGTTTGTCTAACCTAGTAACAGTAACCAAGGAGGGCGGGGCTTGACACAGAGTTATTTCCTGGTGATGGCGGGGCTTGACACAGGGACACTTCCTGGTGAGGGCGGGGCTTGACACAGAGTTATTTCCTGGTGAGGGCGGGGCTTGACACAGGGACACTTCCTGGTGAGGGCGGGGCTTGACACAGGGACACTTCCTGGTGAGGGCGGGGCTTGTCAGGGTAGATTGACAGATCGATGGATACAAATGTAAAATTCATTTCTGTCGTCGGCTTTAAGAGCATTTTCTTCAAAACGTTGAGGATCTAGTTTGCAGATCTATAGAGATTGAGGAGAACTCAATTAATCCTGATTCTTTATTTTAATATATTCTGCAACATTCAGGAGTCAAACCGCTTTACTCCGTCTCCTGTCCCTCATATTTTATGTCATTTTTTATTTTTTCCTGTGATTTCCTCGAGCACAGCGTGGAGAGTACGGAGACGTTAGAATCTGTCTGCAGAGAGCAGCAGACCCCCCCCCCCCCCCCCCTCCCCCCCCTCCTCTGTAATGATCTCATATCAAACCATCAGATGTAATAAGTCCTCTATAAACACTTCCCCTTACTCTGCTCAGATTGAAGTTTCTCCCAAACGTGGACTGAAAGCTTCAAGTGGGCCGTATCTGCGTTAATATGCTTCTTTTTACTCTCTGTGTTCTGGATTTGCATAGTTTGTCCTCTGTTGATTTATTGAATCACGGCGGCTCGTTGGGCGCCGTGACAGTGGGCTCACGCCGGCCTCTTTATATGATAATGCAGCATCGCAGGGCCTTTTAATAGAACTCAGAAATGTAATAGTCTTGCATAATTTTCCCATAAAGCCCTGCACAGCTGCCGTTCCTCCCTCCTGATATTCAGCCGCTCTCCTTCAGCCGGCCGCGCTGCGTTCAGCAGCGAGACGTTTCTTGACAGAGCCGATAACGCCCGGGACTCCGTGTATTTATTCTCGACCCCTGAGCGATAATGTCCTCATTTCCTCCCCCCCCCCCCCTCCTCCTCTCAGATATTAAAGCAATCGTGCACAGAGATCCTGAGTATAGAGCCGTCCAGCGTCTGTGTGAACGGTGAGTGGACACACACACACACACACACACACACAACACATACACACAGACACACACGACACACACAGACACAACACACACACACACACACACACACACACACACGAAGACACACACAGACACACACACGCACAGACCACACACACACACACACACACACACAACACACCGAAGACACACACAACACACACACACAGACACACACACACAGACACACGCACAGACACACACACACACACACACACCACGCACACACACAGACACACACTCACATGCACACACAGCACACACACAACAGACACACAGACACAACGAGACACACAGACACACACACACGCACAGACACACACCACACACACACTCCACATACACACACACAAGACACACACACACACACAACACGCACAGACACACACACACACACACACACTCACATACGCACACACACACACACACACGCACACACACACAGACACACACACAACACACACACACTCACATACGCACACACACACACACACACACACGCACAGACACACACACACACACACTCACATACGCACACACACAGACACACACACACACACACACGCACAGACACACACACACACACACACACTCACATACGCACACACACACACACACGCACAGACACACACGCACCACACACTCACATCGCACACACACACACACACACACACACACACACACACACACAACACACTCACATACGCACACACACAGACACACACAGACACACAAGACACACACAGAACACACACACACAGACACACCACAACCACACACACACAGACACACAACACGCACAACACACACAGACACACTCACATGCACACACACACACCACACACAGACACACTCACATGCACACACACACACACACACACACACACACAGACACACACACACACAGAACACACACACAGACACACACAGACACACACACAGACACACACACACACACAGACACACACACACAGACACACACACACACACACAACACACACACACCACACACACACACACACACACACACACACAGACACACTCACAGACACACACACAGACACACACAGACACACACACACGCACAGACACACACACACACACAGACACACACACACACACACTCACAAACACACTCACAGACACACACAGACACACACAGACACACACACACACACACACACACACACACACACAGTCACTGAACCTGCAGCATCGTTTAAAGAGGGATTCAAGAAGTCTCTTATTTTGAAAATCATTCTTCCAGTCTTAGAAAGTTTAACTTTAGAACCTTTATTCTTTAAGAAAGTGAGAACATGATAAGATCACATCAGGAGAAGAAACAGGAGAAACAGGAGAGCCGATATAAACATGAAGTAGTTTCCTTCTCTCAGTCTCATCTCGTCTTCGTGACCTTTCAGAGTCCTTCGACATCGTCCTCAGAGGAAACGGCTTCTCCATCGGAAGCAACGGAGGAGTCGTCTGCAGCTTCATCGTCAACGAGCAAACCTTCAGTAAGTGGAACAAACTTTAACTCAGAGAGAGAGAGAGAGAGAGAGAGGAAGAGAGAGAGAGAGAAGGAGAAGAGAGAGAGAGAGAGAGAAGAGAGAAGAAGAGAGAGAGAGAGAAGAGAGAGAGAGAGAGAGACAGAGAGAGAGAGAGAGAGAGAGAAGGAGAGAGAGAGAGAGAGAGAGAGAGAGAGAGACGAGAGAGAACGGCACACACTTGAAGGACTACAGCCTGCATGCCGGGGTGCATGCAAACATCTGACATGGGACTCTAATGTTTATTAAAAGTTTCAACATCGAGGAACTCTAAATGTGCAGAAGATGTTGATCCCCTGCACTGTTGCTGCACACACAACACACACACACACACACACACACCACACACACACACAGAGGTCAGTCAGGTCACTGTGATGTCATATGATGGTTATTCAGAGGAAGCACACAAATCCTGTGATAACGGCTCTCTGTCGGTATCTTTTGGATCTCATTTGGAGAAGAAGAAGAAGAAAGGGTTCTATGTAGGTCAGCGTGCTCTTCTTCTTCTGAGCTCTCAGGCTGCTCCTCGGAGAAATCCTTTTTCTTCAGGAAGCTAACAGGATTTGGCACAGGGAGACAATCTTTTAAAGCTCTCATTTGGCGGCGGGATCCGCGGATCGACGGCTGCCAATGACAAACACTTCCCTGCTCGACGAGTTATTTTTGATTTCCTCCACTTGACTGAAACACTCGAGCATATTTATTTGATTCCTTTTTAAAAAAAATAACTTCGTCTTCTTCAGGAAGTGGCCGTTAGCAGATGCTTCCTGTTAGTCCTTTCTCAGTTTAGACCGTCTCACATTCGCCCACTTGGGGCTATTTATTCCCTGATTGGCTCCTGCATGTGTTCAGTGCAGACCTCTCGAACAGTGGGGGCATTTTATAATTACGGACAGGCATCATGGACACACAGCACATATGTAGAGCAGATGCTTCAGTCTGTGAGCGCACAGCAGCAAAAAAATATCAATAATGAGAGCGACCGCAGCGGCTGAAGACGGTTCAGGCCTCTGTCTGTAACCTGCTGATCGCACACACACCACCACACAGCATGAACACACACACAACACTCGCACACAAAACAGGATACAATCTGTCATCTCTTTCTTTTTTTAAACCTTATGTAACTCCCAGTGATTAAACGATAGCTTACATCCAACATATGACACAGTTTCTGCTACTTCCTGAACACTTAAAAAAAGAAATAAAGCTTTGAAAATGACACAAACTAAACCGTGTAATCCTCTTCATGAAACACACGAGGCTTCGGAGAGGTCACGGAGTTCAGACGAGGATTCTGTCGCTCGTTGTCGTTAAAGGTTCTCTGCTGAACATCGAGATACTTCTGATGTCACCTCGTGTGAAGAATGTCTACACGGTGTCTGCAGTGGAAAGATGCTACATCGCTTGTGTTGCTACCTTGAAATACTTCAACACCCAGAATGCACTGGGCTTGTTGCCTTCTAAGGCCACTCTGCAGTTCTTCCCTATTGGATAGGCTTGACGAGCGTGTCGGGTTACGTTGAAGTCTCTGCAGTAGAACGACTCTCCTCACCGGTGTTACGATACAAAGTGTGACCGTGTTACCTGGTGACTTGCAGCTGATTGCGCTCTGTGGTTGTCGTGGTTACAACTGCTGAGGTTATTTTGACGTTATCATACAAATCGAAAACAAAGAGGCGTTCAACATATGTTGTTACTATGACAACCAGAGACACTTTCTATTTTTTTTAAAATGTTTGTATGTTTGAGAGTTTTTAATGTAAATGACCCAGAGAGAGAATTAAAACCCGGTTCTGTGTTGCTCTCTCGATTTTCTGCAGATCAGAAGCCGACTGCTGTCCGGAATGATTACATGCTGTGTCCTGCTCCCAAACTCTATGAAGTCGGACAGTAAGTGGCAGCCTCTACCATCAGTGTGTGAATGTGTATGAACGGATGAGTTAATACTGACGGACTCTTTACTCAGCGGCCTCTACCATCAGT